CAATTTTTTTAAATGAATACTAAACTTATTTATTAATTTTTATACAGAATAAAGAATTTTTATTTATTTATTATTCATATGTTTTTATTAAATCGAGACTTATGGTTTTAATAAAATGACACCTACATCTTTTATAAATTTTAAATAGAGTTTCATCTTCGTTATATTTTTAACACATGATGTTTTTTTATATTTTCATAAATGTCTTATATTTTTATTATTTAAAAATGTTATAATTATTAAAATTTTAGAATATAAGAAGTAAAGATAATATTTGTTAAAAAGTGAATGATTTAATTATTATATCATAAAATTATCTTATAAAAAATTATGTTTTTAAAATAGAATTATTGTAATATAAAAGGTTGAACATATTTAATATAAAATATATAAACCCCTATAAAATATATGATTAAATATATTATATTATTATTATATTTACATCTAATTTTAATATAAGTATAAAAATAAATAAACTAAGGAGTACAATTATTATTTTATCAATAATTAATATATAGGTTAATGTATTTTTAATAATTATAATTATGTTAGTTTAATATTGAATTTCTCCTTGTGTACTGTATTAGAGACTGATAATTGTAATTTTTTGTCAAACTAGTTGTTATAAATGATTTTTCCTGTGCATATGAATCATTTCCACGTGTGAATGACATTAAGAAAATATTAAGAAAAATATTATTTTTTATAATTTAAATCATTCAATATTTTATTTACAAATTCTTTTTAGATTTATATTTAAAATTTTAATTTTGAATTTACCTAATTTTTGTTTTAAGTTGTTTGATTTTATACTATTAAATAGAATAAGAAGATAAATATCATTTAGAAAAAAAGAATATCATTTATAAATATTATTTAAAAATTCAAGTGAGTTTTTTTTTTAATCAAAATATGAGATAAATATGTTTATTTTTAAATTAAAAATGGTGGCAAATTATTTAACATAACCTCTTTAGATATAAGTATAGTTTTTTCTAAAATAAAATATTTAAACTTTGATGACATAATTTAAAAAAATCAGTTTTGAAAAATATATATTATTTAATATTAATTTCCTTAATGTCTGTCCAAACTCACACTCTATATTTTCTAATTTTTTTTTCTTTACGTAGTGTTAGGTAATTTTTTTAAGAAAAATAATATATGCATAATTTCATTTTTATGTAACATTATATAACTCAATTTAACAATATAATAATAAATCTAAAAAATATTTTATTATTATTATAATACTAAAATAAGTTGTTGAAGGAATATTTATAAAAAAAGAAGACGTTAAAATAATATTTTCCTTTTTTATTCTATTATCTCATTAATTCTTACCCATGAAACTAATATAAACATTATTACGAATAAGGTTTGGTAGGTAAAAACATTTTTACTTTTTCATCAATTTTTTTTTCATTTTTAACTCTCAAAAGGATATTGGAATTGACTAGAAATCAAATTTTAATTTAATTTAACTTTTAATTTTTTTCTCTGATAAAAAAAAATTAATACAAAAATTATTAATTTATTTGTTAATACACTAATACTACTAAAAATATATATATTTCATTATTACTAATTTGATGTCAAATATTTTATTCATAATTTAAACTTAAACCCTATATATATATATATATATATATATATATATATATATATATATATATATATATATATATATATATATTTATCCATTCAAAAGACTCATTTGATTTTAACAATATTGTTCTGTACACTTGTTTATGTTTTTCCTTGGCAAAGAAGGTGAAAGAAAGAGAAACATCAATTCAAATAATGAATGTCGTGTAAAACTAACTATAATGTTCATTGTGTGGTAGGAAGAATGAGGATGGAATTTTGAATTAGAAATATACAATTTAACTGTAGACAAATTTTATATATAAAAAAATTCATTATAAACTTCTAAGAGATTTGAAAAGTTGTCTCTATCATTCAAATCATAAGTATATCATGTAAAATATAAATTTTACTTTTTAAGATGATTTTAAAAAAATGAGTTAATCTTTTTATAATTTTTTTTTATGTTTTTAAGTTTGTTAACCTTTCAGTATAAAAGTGATGATTGACATAAACATGAAATGAAACAATAATTAAAGATTATATAGATCTTATAATATCAGTATTTATTCTAATGATATTTATTGAGATTATATATCACTTATAATTGAATTACGTATATTTTATATTTTTCATATGATCATTTATTAGATGATGGGTCAGAACTCTTCCATCAATTATAATTATATATATGAGATTATTTAAATTAATTTTGTAAGATTCAATAAATTAATATTTATTTTTTATTAAAAAATTAATTAATTTTTTTTTATATCTAAGAAGAATCTAAGAAGATTAAATGGTGTAAAAGTAGTGATAGAAGAGGAGAAAAAAAACACTATTTTTATTTACATTTTAATTATATGTAAAAGTAGTTTGTCATCGCTTTTCTAAATTAGTTCATTTTTGTTAAATAAAATAATTGTATAGATTAAATATTTTGTAGAATCATGAAATGGGTTGTGACTCATGAATCAACTCAACTTAACCCACTTATTAAATAATTTTCTTGAAAAATAAATCCATTGATATTGGTCTCATCAACTTTTCTACCAATGATATCTGGTAATAAGTTTTATAGATTTAGTTGTTATAAGTTTGATTGACTAATTTTTTATCCTTCTTCATTCTTATTATTTTAAAATCAATAATACACACAAAAAAAAAAACTTAAATTCTTTTAGAGAAACCAGTCTTGAATCAATATCACTGAAGAAATGTTTTGCACCATTTCATCTTGTTAAAAATTTCCGATCCTCATTATATTTGATAAAGAAAAAAAAATCAAATATTTTGTACAGAGTCTTTTCTATCCAAATATCTTTCTCTCAACACCCTTTATCCTTCTCTAACAATCTTTCCAGCGAATGAGTTGAACCTTTATCTAATTTTTCAAAGTACCTTCCACCAAAAGATCCATTGAATTGAAACATAACCCTCCCTTATATCATTCTCTATACTTATCAATACTTTTCTACAAAATATGTATCTTTTTTACAAATAATCTCCTTCCACTATCATTATTCATCGTCACTTTCCTAAAAGTGATGAACTAATTAAAAAATTACGTATCTTTTATTCTCACTTACACTCTTCTTTTGGCTTATACATCCTATATCACCTCCTCGCCTCTCTCCTTTTCTTTTTATAATGACAAAAAGGTGCAAAATAATGAGTGCCCAATACTTAAATTCTCTGATAGCTCAGCCTGGCATCAAATTAATTGAACCAAATTTTCAATTGAAAGATTTGACGTATTTTTTATTTTATTTTTTTATCATAATTGACTTATATTTTCGATTAATTTAATTTTGTCCAATATTTTTAATATTATTGTTTCAATATGTTAGAAATTAACATCTATAGTAATTTAAACTTCATTTATTAAATAATATGTAAGCTTACTTTTTCTTCAATAATATAATGTTTGATGAAAAATATACTTTTCCTTTTCTTTTAACCTTGTTATTAACAAAACGGAGTCGGACAAGCCAACTAAACTGTTTGGATCATTAACCATGTTTTAGATATCAATATTATTCAGTTTTAATTATAATTCAATCACGATTTAAGCATGAGTTGAATTAATTGAATACCAAAATTCAAAAGTTTTCGATACAAGTTGATTTCTAAAACAATGTTTATATTGTGTCACTTTTTTTTTCGGTGCTTGTCCATGTTTTGATTAAACAAGAAGGCAATTCATAATTCTCTTCATTTTACTGTTAACAAATTAAGAATTCTCTTCTTTATGGAATACTAGTTTTCTAATCAATTATGGATTCCTCGACTTTATATAGTTCTGTATTTTTTTTTTCACATTTTATAAACTCCATTTATAACAAGCAATCTTGCCATGATTCCAACTAAGAGGAATTTTTTTTTTCCACAAAAGTTGCTTTTACAATTGTCATATAGTGACTTCTTGTTAGTGGTACTATCGTCCCTTACTTTTGAAACTTAAGGCAATCTCATCATTAATTATAAAACTAATAATTTGCAGAAAACGAAGGGTGAGTGAGGTTTAATTTAACTTAATTTAGTTTAATTTAATTTTCCCTAACTCTCGTGTCTAAAGAGGGGTCATCTCCCCGATACAACATATACATAATCTACAACATGCACATAATCAATCATTAATATCAAATCACAGGAGGTTTGATTAAATAACAAATGCAAAATTTATATTAAACATAATCATCCATATATATTTAAATCTCGTGATTAATTTATGAACATATTAACGACTAACTTTGAGAATAACATATTGATGATTCTGGATTCTTTTAAAAAATTGAACAAAGTTCTAGAGATAGTGATGAATCAAAATTAAATCTGATACAGTTAAAAGCAGTTTTGCTAATTAAGAAGTATACATAAAAGCCACCATGAATGATTGTGGTTAACAGTTAACACAACTGATTAATCAATTAGGATCACCTTTGCTGGAAAACATTTATAATAATTGTGGATCTCTATTTGGTAGGGATGAAGTGTGCAGATATGCAATGGGGAACTTGTACTAATCTTAATCTGTACTTGTAGATCAATAATTGTTATTTGGCTACTAATTCTATCTATATTTATTTCCCAAAATTCATACACCTGGTTTTGTGCATATTCTCAAGGGTACTAGGGCATAAACAGTTACGTCTGTGAGACCAAGGTTAACCTAACGTGGATATATACAAGAATTAAAATTAAAATATTTTTATTAACATCTCTCTTTTTCTTGCATATAAAATGATTATCAGTACGAAGTCTCTCCCCAACCATTGTTCTTGTTATATAACCTATTAACTAGCCACATGTATTTGGAATATCTGCTTTGGCTTTGAGCTTCCCCTTTCTTTCTTCGTTGTTTCATGCATAACTCAAACATTTCCTTCAAAACAAATTAAGTTTCACTGAATATGGCATTCAAGAAGTTCATAATCCGAAGCTACGAGGGTCATTCTGATAAAGCTCACGTAGAAGATCTTGAGAGAAGATGCAAAATAGGACCATCAGAAAGCGTGTTAGTCACTATGGGTGATCCTATGTGTAGGATTCGAAACAGCCCCATGTATATAATGCTGGTATATACTATACAATATCATACCATTCATTAATATTTACAGTCTCCCTCACCCTTCTCCCTTTATTTCTACTATAACAATTTATAATCTTGTTGTTTTTCTAAGGCCCTTGTATGCACCACTTATTGGTTAATTTGGTGTTAGGTAGCAGAGATGGACAATGAATTGATTGGTGTCATTCAAGGCTTAATAAAAATGGTGACAGTTCATAGTCATCCTCCAAAAGATATGGCAAAGGTGGGGTATGTCTTAGGGCTCAGAGTTTCTCCCCATAGTAGAAGAAAAGGCATTGGCTCAGGTCTAGTGCATAGAGTAGAAGAATGGTTCAGTTCCAATGATGTAGAATATGCATACATGGCCACAGAGAAAGAAAACCATGTCTCGTTGAATCTCTTTATGAACAAATTTGGCTACACCAAGTTTAGGACTCCAACTATACTCGTAAACCCTGTGAATTATCACCCATTTCAAATCTCATCCAACATAGAGATAACTAAGGTCAAGGTTGAAAAGGCTGAATACCTCTATAGAAGGTTCATGGGAGCCACTGAGTTCTTCCCTAGTGATATACAGAATATACTTAAGAAAAAGCTAAGCTTGGGAACATGGGTGGCTAACTTCAAAGGGGATAGTGATTTTGGTTTAGATGGACAAGTTCCCAATAGTTGGGCCATGCTTAGTGTTTGGAACTGTGCAGAAATCTTCAAGCTAAGGTTAGGGAAAGCACCTTTGTCTTGCATGTTGTTCACAAAGAGTTGGGGTTTGATTGATAGAATCTTCCCATGCATGAAACTGCCAACCTTGCCCAACTTCTTCAGTCCTTTTGGGTTCTACTTCATGTATGGTGTGTACCAAGAAGGGCCATTCTCTGGGAAGTTGGTTAGGGCATTGTGTAAGTTCGTGCACAACATGGCTTCTAGGAGTGAACACTGCAAGATTATTGTGACAGAAGTTGGAGGAAGAGATGATCTGATTCATCATATTCCACATTGGAAATTGCTCTCATGTCAGGACATGTGGTGTATAAAGGCTTTGAAAAATGAAGTGAGTAACAAGTTTCATAAATTGACCAACGTTCCATCCCCAGGAGCTCTCTTCGTAGACCCACGCGAGGTCTAAACTCTACTCATAGATATAAACATATCACAGTTTTATTTCATGTACCAATTTTGCTCATCTTGTATTTTCTTGTGATGGGATTTCTCTCTGCTTCCTTTCACATTATAGTGACAAAATGAAAAGATTTCTAAAATTAGATTCCAAAATATTGTCCTCCTCGTTAGCAATTACTTCTTATCCCTTCAAATCAATCACGTTCTTCAAACTTTGTCCCTTCCCTTAGTAAAAATTTGGAGTTTGACACTCTTCTGCAACATAACATCATATAATATGTTCTCCGAAAAAGGTCATCACCGAAAAGATGTTTTCTGAGGTATTTATGTAATTATATATTATTATTATAAGGTTTTATTTAAATAAGTGTTAAGCAACAGTCAGTTTATATATGTATTGTCTTCTTAAAAAAATAAAAATAAAAATGTAGGAAAGTTGAAAGGATATTAATGGTGAAATTTGAAAGGATTTAACATCATAATTGATGCATTGTGGATGATTATTCCACAATTTTAGTCGTTATCACATGTATAATTTAATGGTTCATAAAGATATATAAAGGAGAGATTTAAACATCTGAATTTTTGTGTTCAAAATCATGGTGACCTCCTTTAATATTCGCCCTATAAGGATCTGTGTTATATTCAAATTGACCATTTTTGGTTTATTTAAAGGTCACTAGTGGAAAAATAGCTTTCTATGACGGGTTTTTATCACGGTCGTAATCCACCCATCATAGTATGTGGCGCGGTGGCAATTTTGTAATAAAATCATAAACTTTCTATGTCGGGTAAGTTTTAACCGACATAGTAAGTGGAAAGGTCACTTTCTACGTCGGTTAAAATTTACCCGACTATGTCGGGTAACATTTACCCGACGTAGAAAGTGAACTTTCTATGTCGGGTAAATTTTAACCGACGTAGAAAGTGTCTTTGATGACGGGTGTTAGAGCAACCGACATAGTATCTTCTGTTTTACCCTCCTCCCGCGCTCCATTTCATTTCATCACTTCCCCCCCATAGCAGAGCTCCCCTGTACGTTTCTCCCTACGCTCCATTTCCTTTCATCGGTTCACCCATACCGAGCTCCCCGTTCCCTTGTATACGTTTCTCCGCACCCACATTTGCTCGTCACGCCACCCGCCAACGCTTCATGCCGCCTGCTCGCTACCGGTGCCCGTCGCCCGGGATACGTTTCTCCCCACCCGGCTCGCACGTCACGCCACCTGCCACCTCTCGTAGGTCTTCAAGAGGTAAGTTTTCGTGCTTGCTTTAGCCAATGTAGGTTTATAGTATTGAATCTAGTAAGTAATAATGTCTGTCAAGAGAGGGAAACATCACGGGTGCCTTTAGCTAATTTAGAGATGTATTGTAAGTAGTTTAGTCATTTGAATGTGTTTCGTAGGCATTCTTTCGTGATTTTGATTTTGAACATTAGATTTGTATTATAATGTAGTTATTTTGAGAGTGGAGTTGGATTTCGTGTAGGCATTATAGTGTAGTTATTTCGTGTTTACGTAGCTAATTTGATTTTGAAAATTAGATTTGTAACAATGGATCGGAGTTGGATCAATTATAGACGAACAACAAATGAATATGAGAGTGGAGTAGAACAATTCCTTGAATTTGCTAAGATGAATGTTCCGGATAATGATGGAAGATTCTATTGCCCTTGTGTTAACTCGCTTGAATGAGCGAAGATTACCGATCGAAGTTATTCGGGAACATGTTCTTTGTGATGGTTTCTTAAAGAGTTACATAAAGTGGACATGGCATGGTGAATTATTAAACATGCCAAGTGTAGAAGATAAAGAAGAAGTTGATCTAGAGATGGATGATCAGCTGGAGGAAATGATTCGTGAGCTTGGACAAGATGCCTTCCAACACACACATGTGTACGAGAAGTTGTCCAATGATGCAAAAGAGCCTTTGTATACAAATTGTACTAAGTTCACACGATTGTCGTGCAGTACTAAAATTGTTCAATGTGAAGGCAAAGAATGGGTGGACTGATAAAAGTTTCACGGAATTGCTTGAGTTGTTGAGTGACATGCTCCTCGAAGGTAACACATTGCCAACCCGCAATTATGATGCTAAGAAGATATTGTGTCCAATGGGTATGGAGTACCAAAAAATTCATGCATGTCCAAATGATTGTGTGTTGTACAGAAAGAATTTGAGAACTGTCACGAATGTCCACAATGCGGGGAATCACGATACAAGAAGAAGGATGGTGATTCTGACAATGATGTAATGAAGGGTACCTCAAGCAAATTTGTTATGGTATCTTCCCATTGTTCCAAGGTTGAAACGATTATTCACTAATGGAAATGATGCAAAGTCGACTAGATGGCATGCGGATAATCGTATTAAAGATGGTCAGTTGAGGCATCCGACGAGATGGATTGCAATGGAAAAAATTGATTCCATCTTCCAGAATTTTGGTAATGATCCAAGAAACATTAGGTTTGGACTTGCTACGAGATGGAATGAATCCATATGGAAATTTAAGCGATGAAACATAGTTCATGGCCTGTGGTGTTAGTTATTTACAACTTACCTCCGTGGTTGTGTATGAAACGTAAGTACTTGATGCTATCTTTGATGATCTCGGGTCCCGAGACAACCTGGAAATGACATTGATGTTTTTTTAAGCCCATTGGTTGAAGAGTTGAAGATGTTGTGGGAGGAAGGTGTTGATGTGTTTGATGGGTACACAGGTGACTTATTCAAGTTGCGTGCAATGTTATTTTGTACAATTAATGACTTTCCAAGCATATGGTAATTTGAGTGGCTACGAGCACAAAGGGACATAAAGCTTGCCCGATATGTGAAGAAGACACATGTCACTATCAACTACAACATGGAAGGAAAACGAGTGTACCTTGGACACCGAAGATTTCTTCCTTCAAACCATTCATATCGTAAATTAAAAAAATCATTTAACGGGTGTCAAGAAAATGATGCAGCCTCAACACCTTTAAGTGGGGAAGAAGTATATCAACGAGTAAGTGCAATTTCGTGTGAGTTTGGAAAGACGCAAAAGAAAGCCACAGGTATATGGAAGAAAATGTCAATCCTTTTTGTTCTTCCATATTGGAGGGTTCTTGATGTGAGGCATTGTATAGATGTCATGCATGTAGAGAAAAATGTGTGTGATAGTATCATCGAACGCTCCTTAACATTCAAGGAAAAACAAAAGATGGTGTCAATGCTCGTTTGGACATGGTTGAAATGGGTATAAGAGAACAATTAGCTCCTCAACCTCATGGTAACCGAACATACTTGCCTCCAAGCATGTCACACACTTGTCTAAAAAAGAGAAAAGAAGTTTTTGTGAGTTTTTACGAGGTGTGAAGGTTCCATTTGGTTACTCTTCCAATGTGAAGAGACTTGTATCTATGAAAGATCTCAAATTGCTTGGGTTAAAATCTCATGATTGTCATGTATTGATGCAACAACTTCTACCTGTGGCTATTCGAGGTATCTTACCAGACAATGTTAGATATTCCTTAACTCGATTATTTATGTTTTGGGAGAAGTTCTATTCTATTCACAACCTCTACCTGTGGTTATTAAAGTATTTGAATCCTATTCTATTCACAATAAACATAAGTTTTGGGAGAAGTTCTTTAAATAGATTTAATCATTTATTCCGTTTCTTATACTTAATTATAAGCGGGTTGAAATTAAAATTAAACAAACCATAATCCCACTAAATATTAGATATTTATGTTTTTAATTATATGTTTATTTTAACCGCTAAATTTAATAATAAGCATAAAAAATAATAATTTATTAAAGAAAATTCTCCTATTTTTTCTGAATAAGAGATTATCCAAATCAGTAATCAAACACATTCAAATGGTGAATTTGAACCAGCTTGATTGCGTTTTAGTAAATGTTTTATAGACCAAAATGGATCATATAAATAGTTATTTTCCTTTTAAATTTGGGCTATATTTTTTTAGAATATATAACAATGATAAAACACAAATGAGAAATAGAAATAATTTTATACAAGTGTATTCATTCTCTGTAGTGTTAATTTTCAATTTAAATAATAATATCAATCTTTTAAAAGTATCAAATATTTTTATGTTCAAATAATATATAGAATATATATATTATTGTATTTTCGGTAGTTGAAATTCTAAGACAGACACTGTATTTGAATTCTGCTATATAACCTTGAAAGTTGATCGTTTTTAACAAAATAATTTACATGTTTAAATGTTGTAAGAATATTCAAGACATATAATAAACAACCATATTCAAAAATTTAGGATCAAGTTAGAGTTTTTTTTTAATCAAATTACTTTTTCATATTTAAAAAATACGAAAATATTCAAGACATTATATACAATCATATTTCCGAAACATAAGATAGGCATAATGTTATGCTCGAATCAATCCCTGTTCTCGTCAATTAAAATAATTATACTATATTAAAAATATACAAATGTTATAATCATATGTATATAAAAAATATATGACAATAGAGTGTCATATTTGAATCAATAGTTTTTTTCCTTTTAATTTTTTTTATGAATTTAAAATTTTGCTGGTTACATATACATAATTTCAAAGTAGTTATTTATTGAAAATAAATAAAATAGTTGAGTTATCATTTACTATTCATATTATTAATCTTAATGACAGACTGTAGTTGTTTTACATTTAATCATCATTAAACTAATATTTATTTAACAACTTATTAGAAGTCTACGATAAATTAATAAGTGGATAAAGGAAATAAACAGGAGAATGATGTCAATTGTTTTTTAATGCTGAATATTTATTTTATCCTTGATGAAAATATATATGATATTTGTTTAATCATTAAAAATATCAAAATTTAAAATTAATTACATATATTTCTGCGTGATTGTCACTATAGATACTTAAATGAAATCTATGCAAACATTATTCTTTTTCTTTTCTTTTTTTCATAAATTTTTGTGTCTCTTTTTCTTCTTCATCTATTTTCCACCGCAGTTGAATAAAATAAACTTTAATAAAATCCTTAAATTTACAGTATCCATCATTTTAATTAGGGGAATTATATTTTATTTAAATTAAAAATTAAGTCCATCTAATTCTTCCCTAACGAAACTATCGGGTTCCTATTGAAAATGGATTTGAGATTTGTTTGGAAATGGATTTACATTTTGCCGACAACAGATTATAGGGCCAGGCTTAGAGTGAAAAGAAAACAGATTTGTTTGAAGACTGAACAGTGAGAGGAAGGCTTTTGCTTCTTACACCAGATAAACATCATACTGCACCCCAAATTTTCAATGTTTGCAAGAAGAGTTGTCAGAAACTGTGTTTCCCTCCCTAAACTTACGCAAACGATGCTTAGTTTTTTAAAGTGGCGGATTATTTATTTATATATTTATAATTTTAATCTTAAATTTAATATTTATTAAATATATATATATATATATATTAAAATAAATTATTAAATATATTAAATAAAAATATTATATATTTTTTATTATTTATAATAATATATTATTTCATCATGAAGATTATCCTAGTTCAGGAATGAGGTAGACCATTCTTGTTTGCATTGGCACAGATGATGGTAACCTTTTCAGCCAACTTTTGGTAGTTTGTTTATTGATGACTTGACTTTAGGTAGACCATTCTTGTTTGCATTTACTGAATAAAATTGAGGAAGATACACGTATTCTATGCAATTCTTGTTCAACTTCAAAGCTGATTGATTTTTTTATTATTATTACATATAAGGAGTTATTTCGTATTCGCTATATTTTTAATTATAACCCAATAAATTAATATTCTAAATTATCAAATTAAAAACATTAAATGACAAAAATAAATATATTCTTATTTATAAAATAAATAAATCTTTCTCTTATATATACATATATAGTTTGACTGAGTATTATTTATTTTGTATTTATTTTAATATTAGTTTTTCTAATTTCTATTATTATTTTATTAATCTATTTACTCCTTTTCTCTTTCTTATATTTTTCACTTATTTATAATTAAATATATTTTAAAAAACAAAACAGTATATTAATAAAAAATTAAATAAAATATTATAATAAAAATATAAAAACTTTATTCACTTGTATTATTATAATAAAATAAAAAAATTGTTTTATATTTTTTAAATAAAAATCTAAAGTTTAATTATAAAATAAATAAAAATGAATTTAAAAATAAATATTATTTTATTAAATAATATCGTAAATCAGTTATTTATATAAAATATTATCAATAAATTATTTTGATAAAATATTATATATCAATTAATAAATATATTATATCATTACTTATATAAATTATTATATGTGAATTGCTTATTTATATTATTATAATTTTTTATTTTGAATATGATTTGTTGATTATCCACATATAATATTTTTGTGAATTATTATATTGTTTTATGAATTATGAAAATAAAATATTATTTGTAAATTAATAAAATAAAATAAAATAAAAAAGAAAAAAATAATGTATATAAAATATTAATAGAATGAATATTTAATAACAATATTTACTTAATTTATTTTAAATTTAGTAAATATATATTTTATGTTGAAATTAATATAATTAAACATTAATTAAATAAATATTATGATTTATAAAAGAAAAAATAATTAATTAAATATAAAAAATAATTAATATACTTTATTTTATTAACTTATGTATTTAATATTGTTTTATATTTTTATCTGTGAATAGAGGTTAGTTAGTTAGTTAAACCGTATACATATACACATTTATTAGAGATTTTTTATCCTCAAATAATGGATGGTGGTTCCGTACTGGTTAAATATTGATTTGACTATCTTAATTACTACTCACAGATAAAATTACTATATTTTTATCTGTTGCATGTTAATAGAACAATTGTGGTAGTAACCCTATTTAAATCTTTTAAATCGTTAAAGAAGTTGTTCAATTTTTATGTTTTTTTTATAGATCATTAATTTTTATTTATTTATATATATTAACAAAAATTTATGAATGGTTGCGGGTAAAGAAATTTTTTATTAAATGTATTAATATCCATTTAATGACACCCACATGTGTATGAAACAAAATTTCATTCAACCAAATAAACAAGTCACCAATCAATCTCATAGATATTGTATATAAAACAAAATTATTTAAATAAAATATTTTTAAATTTAGTTTTATTATTTATGAATAATATAATTATTTTTCTCTTTTTCTTTTTTATTTTTTTACTCCATTTTATTCTTTAATTAAAAATAATATATTAAAATTTAATAATGAGAATTTTTTTTATCATTACTAAAAAAATTAAATATTTAAATGATCCATAAATAATATAATTTAATGTATTATATTTAAAAATATTATATAATAAATTTTGGATATTATAAATATTATTATTATGTTATAATTATTAAAAAAATATTTATTTTAATTTTTTTAAAATTAACTTAATTTAACTAATTATCGTAAACTTAATTAATTAGAAGAATAAACAAGATCGAAGGAACAAAAATCATAGACTTAATATAATAAAAGAAAAACAAGGAGTAAATAAATAAAAAAATTATAGAAGGAGAAGATAAAAATAATACATAAATAATAAATAAGTTTATTTAAATAAATTAATTCATATAAATTTTATTTGAATAATTTTATAAAAATGATATTATTTATAGAGTTAATTTATCATGTTACAACAAATGTTTAAATTGTTATGGAAGGGCACAATTTTTTCTTTTTCTTTTGTCCTCCCCTAGACGCGTCTTAATTACATTTATCACCTGAGCTTTCTAATTAATAACTACAGCTTCTTTTATTATCTAGTAACTCACAACTGTAGTGTTTCAAAAATCAAATTAAACATTAATTCCAAACATCAATTTTGTCTATTAGCCAAAGCAAGCAACATGATTGCACACACACTTTCTTTTCTTCTTTTATTTCTTAAAACTAAAACACAAATTTGTCAGCAAAAGAAACATGTCGTGAATCATAAAAATTGCAATAAAATACGTTTCTCTTTACCTTATGTGCGTGGAAAAAGTTTAGAAATTAATATATTGAAAAATTTTAAAATATGTTTTTTTTTCAATAATAATAAAAATGTAAAAGAGATATATTAATTTTCTCTAGAATATATATTTTTTAATTAATATTATATTTTACAATTATTTATTATTATTATTTTGTTTTATTTTAAATATTATTAATTTTTATTTATTTATTTTTCTTACGTATTTAAATCTATAATAGATTTTTAACGACATTTTTGATTAAAAAGTCAATTCCGAGAACTAATATTTTATATAAATAACTCAATAAATAATTTGTACTGGGTTATCCAAAAAATATTTGAATTTATTTACTTGACCTCTAAATTCGTATAAAAGAATATCATCTAGAATTAATTAAATACAAAATATTTAAAAAATACTTTTAATCTCTGTGTTTGTAGGTTGACAAGAAAAATAGGAAACAGTGGAAAAAATGAGTCATTGGAGAGGAAAGGCAACCCCACCATAACGTGGTCCACTAGACACCATTTATCACTCTCTTCAAACTCTTCCAACTTCTCTTCTTCTTCAAAACTCTCTTTCTTCCACCCCACACTTTTCTTTTCCCTCTCTCTCTCTCTTCGTTCGTGCATGGCGTCGTCGGCGTGCGTCACGGACTTGGCCCGCGCGGCGGCGTGCAGGGACGGCGCGGCGGCGGCGCACCTCAAAGTGGTCTCGATCTTCGTCATCTTCGTGACGAGCGTGGTGGGGATGTCTTCGCCGGTGCTCCTCGCCGGAATATTCCGCGGAAAGCCGCTCTACGACAAGGCCATAGTGGTGATCAAGTGTTTCGCGGCGGGGGTGATCCTGTCGACTTCGCTAGTCCACGTGCTCCCCGACGCGTACGCTGCACTCGCCGACTGCCACGTGGCATCGCGCCACCCCTGGAAGGACTTCCCCTTCGCGGGGCTCGTCACGCTTCTGGGCGCGCTTCTTGCGCTCTTCGTCGACCTCGTGGCGAGCTCGCACGTAGAGCACGCGCAGTACGCTCCGGTGGTGGGACAGGAGAAGGAGTTGGAGCTCGGCGGAAGCTGCCATGGCTCCGGCGGGGACAGTGAAAGAAATGAAGAATTAGCGAAACTGAAACAGAGGTTGGTTTCGCAGGTGCTCGAGATTGGGATAATTTTTCACTCTGTGATAATCGGAGTGACCATGGGAATGTCTCAGAATGTTTGCACTATTCGACCTCTCGTTGCTGCTTTGGCCTTTCATCAAATATTTGAAGGCATGGGTCTCGGTGGTTGCGTCGCTCAGGTTTCTTTCTCTTTCTTTTTCTTCCTCATTTATTACTTCATTTTCTTGCATCCTTGTTTGATTGAACAAGTTATAAGATTTCGTCGACAGCCCAAATGAAGAAGTGTTTTTATTGGGGATGGGATTTTTGATTGGGTTTCTGAAATTGAAGCCGAAACTTGCATTCCTACAGAATCAATACTTTATTCTTCTTGCCAAGGAATCTAAATCTATCCGTCTTAGAGATAGTTACAGGAAAATAAATAAATGCATGTTCTTATATAAGTAAGGTTGATTTATAATCTACAAATTATAGATTAAAACTTGAATTGAAAAATAGCATAAGGTATACTAAGGAACTGGATTATGTTCATGGTCGTCAGCATTTTTCTTGTGTGTATTCAAAACTTACATCTTCGTGAAGGAAAATAGTGTAACAAACGAATGTTGTGTTTGGGAGTTTCTAGAAAATTTGTTTCCTGCTGTATTTTCTTTCCGGTGCTTCATGAGCTCACGTAATTGGAGAATTCCTTGGTTTTCTCATTGCTTTTTGTAAAATTTGACAAATTGCTCAGCTTTTAACCTTTTCTGTTTTTTAAAAAAATTGGTGTCTAAAATCTGAAAGAGATGAAAGAAGGGGTGTTATATAGTTTCGCTTTTTGGTAATTAAGGGAGTTAGAGTGGTTAAGGTTGAGCATCTAAAATTATTGGGATAAAGACTCTTAACTTCTGAAATTAACTAACAATTGAGTAATATCGTGGATGAGTATGGATTTGTATTCAGATAATTTTGGTGTATTATTTATAAAACTTATAATTCTTGTATCTATTTTTTAACTCTATTATTAATGACCTTTCGAATTTGTCTTATCCATTCACATAGAGGTATATTTTAATTTGGTGATACATGAGTGTGTGTGTGGGTTTGTGAGATCATAGCAGGAGCTTACAGAATGTGCTTTACCTTGTGACTGCAGCTTATTCACGGGGGAAATAATAACCTTTTGCATGATAAATATTTTATTGGTTCTTCACCTTTCAGTCCTCATTATTATTGACAATGTTTCAAGTGTTGATAAAGTCATTCTGAACTGAACAGAATAAAGTATTCGTGTTTTCTTTTCTTGATCATGATGGAGTATGAATGTGTGATTTAAATAACTAGAATAACACCAATTAGCCTCCTCCACCTCTCAGGTGTTTAAGTAAGCTTTGTATGGTGTTTATAACAGGCAGGATTTAGGGTTGGAACAATTGCATACATGTGCTTCATGTTCGCAGTGACAACACCAATGGGGATAATGTTGGGGATGGCATTGTTCTCACTCACAGGTTACGATGATAGCAGTCCAAATGCCTTGATAATGGAGGGCTTGCTGGGTTCAATTTCATCAGGAATACTAATTTACATGGCCCTTGTTGATCTCATAGCAGTTGACTTCTTTCACAACAAGCTTATCAACTCTAATCCTCCATTGAAGAAAATCTCTTTCCTTGCCTTAACCCTTGGTTCTGCCGCAATGTCTATTCTCGCCCTATGGGCTTGAAATTTTTGTACCTTCAAACTTCTCTTTCATCTCAACCTACTACTGCTCAAAACAACTCTATAACATACTTATATTACTTCAAAACAAATTTTTATTTTGTATTTCCCTTTTTTTTTTCTTTTTATCAATGTAAACTGTAAATGTAAAAATCTGAAATTTCTCTATATATCTTTTCTTAAAAAAATAAAAATAAAATAAAATCAACTGTACGGAGCAACTTTTTTTGGAATTCGTTTCGACTAACTGAAATTTAAGTAAAAAAATGAAGAAAAATGAGGAAAAAAAGAACGCAGTGATGCAAGAAAATCAGAATAAACGTGAAAAAACAAAAAAGAAATTAGACGAAGATAATATTAATATCTCTAATTATTAACAACTGAAAAAAAAATTATACCGTAAAAATAACTTTGCAAATAATCTAAGTTTTGTCTAATTTTATAAAATTAGGTAAAGTGAATTGGTTATGCTTTTCCTCACAATTAAAGTTATCTTGAATTGTCACATTGGTGAAATAAAAATGCATAAAGCTAAAAAGAAGATTAATTAATTAGGGGAAATTGAAAAAGTTAGATGCCATGGCAGCATAGTGGAGTAATGCGGGTACCATTATTTGGTCACGAAACTTAAAGAATCACATTAATTTTTTGTTATTATATTAAAAAGTTGCTTCTTTCTAAGTTTAGTTGAGAGTATATACACAGAGTCCACTAAGAGTTTTTCGATTTTGGTGGAATTTGGGATCCTATGATTTTGATTCCTAGTGCGGCACTTTATCTTTCATAAGTTTACATATGTGCCTTCTTTTTCTCTCTAATTATCTTCATATCCATCTTTCTACCAAATTCCCAAACTGTAGAATGACGCTACGAAGAAAGAGAAAGGCCACATTTGGATTCAATAAACATGAGAATATGCGAACATGGAAAGTTTGGGTAAGGCCCAAAAGGATGAGTCTGACAGAGTGAGGTTCGATCCAACTTCTGATGAGACCCAAAGGCCTTTTTCTTGTGTCCTAAATCACAAATTTCATAATACCACTTCATGCAACAATATTACGAATACGTGTATATTTCAGCCACATAACACACATGTCCTTATGATTTTACTATTTCAGTCACATATTATGAAATCTATAATATAATTTTACTATTCTATAAAATTTTTAGAAAGTTAAGCCCGGAAATGATTTTTCACATGATTGAAGTTTCGAATTTACTCTTTTTAAAACTTTTTATGATGAGTTTTTAGAAAGTATTTTTGATTATTTTTAAAAAAATCATTTTAAAAAGTTTATAAAAAATTGAATTAAAAACTTATTTTACATAATAAGATGAATACGAAAATTTCTTGATGAAACATGAGTTTTTTTATATAAAATATAAATGTAGTTACAGAGAAAACAGGTTAATTTAATAATAACTAATTAAAATTTCACTAGTAATGGATTCCAAACTTATTCTAACATCTTAAATTTCTGACATTTTGTAGACAACAGATTGGTTTTTCTGCCTAATATGATGAATCTGAAAAACAGAGATGGATAAAGATTTGATGAGATGTAGCACCCTCACTTTTTTGCTTTAGATAGCAACTTTCAAACGTGACATGTTCACGAGTCAAACTCTCTCAGTTTGAGAAGTAGCATAAGAAAAGGGGAAGAGGTTGTCACAATGCATTATTAATATGAAGATAAATAGAAGATCTAATTCTACTTTTTATTCTTCAGCTATAGTAACTGTTTCTGAACAATTACTAACAAAATCACATACCATTAAACAAAATTGTTGTGTTTTTAAGTGTTACTTGGATTTTGATACAATCCATAAGACGTTCAGAAGAAGAGCAGTAAACATGTGCATAAAGTTTTGTCCTTTCACCGTGTCACACCGTATCACCCATTTTCTCTTACCCATATGCACCATTCATTGATTACTGCATCATGATTGAAACAACACAAGCTTAGACATCAGAACAACCACTTACGGTTAGACACTGTTCTCAACTGTGTCACATTTGTAACCAATCAAGTACTATCTTTTGTCTTTTCTTTTGGTGTATATGAGGACTACTAAATACTCTTAGCAAACACTATTTCAGTATCAGATATAGAACTGTGACAATAAATATATATATATATATATATATAGATATGTGTGTGTGTGTGCAATAAATAAATTAGTCGTTTACTGAAGTCTCTACGATCACTGGTGTGTGCGTAGTTATTCTTATTATTCAATATACACCATTATACACATTTCATTGAAAGGACATAGATAACCATTCAAAATTTTGAAGAGATGAATGAATCTTGCTCTTGCATAATTTTCTCAGTTTGGGTGTGTAGTTTAACTCCCTCAGCAAAGTAACTAGACATCTTCAAAAGCAAATTTCAAGAAAATAAAAAATGTGTAAACATTGACAAAAGTTCATTTCATTGTGAAGCATCCAGTTCGGTTACATGATCAGGTGACGGAAAAACCTTGCTCAGCAATCTCTTCAAAGAGAAACCCAACAAAGATGAAGAAGTTTCTGGATCAGAACCACTCATGGCATCAATTTCACTCTCACTAATCTCATAACCAGGTGTAACAACCATAATCTCAAACACACCGTCACCATCATCAGAACCCAATTGAGAATCATCGCTCAACACAACAGGAGCTCTACAAATGGGACAATTGCAATGTGAAGTAAACCACATGTCAATGCACTCCACGTGAAAAGCGTGGCCACACATTGGCAACCTCCTTCCAATCTCACCCTCCTCAATAACGCTCAAACAAATCACACATTCCAATTCCTCTGTTTCCTCTGTTTTCTGCACAAACATCGGAATTGCTGAAACTGTCGCTGAATCTAGGCCTTTGGTACACGAGGGTGGCGCTTCTATGTTGATGCTGCGGAAATGGGAAGGTTCCAAAACGCCGGAGATGGTCACCGGAGTTCGCCACCGACGAGTGTGAGAACGTAATTGCGACTGCGATAAGAACCACTTGGCATACACGTGGAGTAGGAGGACGAAGAGGATGACTAAGAGCAAGGATAGAATGGCTGCGAGCATGATGTTGCTGTTGTTGTCGGAGAACACGTTCTGAGCGAGTTGACTCAGTGAGTTACTGGGTGACTCGAATTGAGTCGGCATTGTGAAGGGAGTGAAGGATGGATGAGAGTGAAGTCTGTGTGGTTTGCTTGAACGGGGAAAAGGGTAGTTTATTTTTGTGGAAAAGGTTAGGGCTTTGAACTTAAAATGAGATTTTGGGAGGAGGGGACCCAACAAAACACACTCAAGAGAGTCAAGTCAAGAGCCAGTTTGTTCAATGTTGAATAAAATCTTGGTTTGTTCTTCTATTCGGTGCGGTTTCTATGCAACTTCTTGTGAAAATGTTTACGTGAAGTTGAAGGGAGTAATAAATAAGGGGGTGTTTGGTGTTGGTGCCTCTTGTAAATAAAGTATTTGTCATGCACTGTGGGAGGGACGTTGAGGTGTGCAATTGAAGTCAAAGGAGAATCCCTTTATCCAAGGGATTAATGAGGAATGCATGGGAATGGGGTGGAGGGATGCAGAGAAAAACAGGGCACAAATGAAGCACTCGTGAAGGCAACGGCAGTGGCAGGTAGGTGTGTTTTATTGGATTCATGTGGCAAGTTTTTGTTTATTTATTTGTGGGTTTAATTGGTTAAATTTGTGCAATGAATAAAATTGTTTATTTATTCTTAGTTCTTGTAAACTGCATCAAGCCTAAGTCAATCATGAAAAGGGAGGCACCCCTCCACAAATTCTTCCCTCTCACATTACTCGTTATCTTTATAGGGGCTTTCATGCATTTATTAGAACTTTGACAATAAAAGAGGGGGTGGCTGTGTTGTTTGGGTTTGGTAGGGTATATTGCGGGACCTCAGCTCCTGTTTTAAAGAGATGAAGCAGAGTTCAGGGGTCCCATGTGAATGGAACCATACACTCTAGAGGGGCCTTTTCTTTTTTTCTTTGACCACCCTACCACAGCTAGCAGTAGAAGAAGATCTTTGCTTAGATTCCACCATATTTTCTTGCATGTTTCCAGCAATGTATAGATCCCTTTTCAGTTTTTAGAGTGGTTACAGTATAGGCTTGCAAAAGGTTGACCATAATTCACAGTTTTTTTTTTGGTGATGGAAATCATTACACATGCATATCCATTTTTTTCTCAAAATGAATATTCTATTTTTATTTATTAATAACTCTGCCATGTCCAACTAATTTTACATATAAATTTATTTGTGCCCTTTCTTTAGTTGGTCTGCAAATGTTCAGACCCTGATCCATATCTCTCTCATGTCAGATAAAGTATTGTTTTTGTTTTGATGTTCAAAATTCTCCAAACTGGAAACAAAAGAATGGTCATAAAAATTATTAAAAGGGATTTCAGAGGTTTACAATATACATGATAATCGTTATTTTTTCTCATATAAAAACAAAAAATGTTCACTTAAATCTACTCTTTCCCTCCAGACTCTTCTTTCAATCCATTAGTTTGTATCTTTTCTCTTCCACACCAGTAACTCCCAATTGTATCTCTATTATCGTATGCAGGGGCACCTGTAAATGACCAAAAGTCGTATACATTAAAAATATCTTATGCAAATTCATGATTCACTCAAACGTTTCATAAAATTGGGATGGTGAACCTCACACAAATTCTTTATTGAGTTAAATATTAAATTTAAGTAAATTTTATCATTTATCAACTATATATATTATAGTAAAAATTAATCACTAAATGTGAAGTTTAAATATAAAGAAGGAATAAAATCAAGTATTTTCAAAAATTGAAAGATTGCATTTATTAATTTGAAAAAACAAGAATCAAACACGAGTTTGATAAAAATATAAAGAACAAAAACATACTTTTCGTTTCTTTTTTCTAACACAAAATTACTAAAGTTCATTTCTTAAAATATTTGTCATGATCTCAATCGAGCCTTTACGTCAACTCCATCTTTCACTTTCAGCTAAATATGAATATATTACCTCAATATCTGGAATTTCTTTCAAAGGTCTATCAGTAAAATAAGCATATAATGCCCTCAGAACTGCCTGTAACGAGAAACTCGAGAATTAAAATCAATCAACCATATTGCATATGTACATGGCAAGTTTACATCAAAGTTATGTGAAAAACCTGGTGAGATATCACAACAACAGGTGCTCGTTGTCGCTCAAGCTCAATAATTACAGGTTCTAACCTGCATTATTATAAATTAAGTTATTTACACAGAACAGTACTAGTTAGGAACTAAAGAATGATAAACGTAATGCATCAACCTTTGAATAACATCTAAGTAAGACTCTCCACGAGGATAACGATACCTAAGCTTGTCCTTAATACGTGATCTGTAGCAGAAAAAGAAAAAGAAAATATTAGCTACCTGAAACATTTTTAAATAGCATTGTGCTCCCACCAGGCACCAGCTTTTTCATCAGGAAATTAGAAAGATTACAAGTTTGCAACATACTCGTACTCCTCAGGCATGTTCTTCTTAATCTCTTCATATGTCATGCCATCACACACACCAGCATTTATCTCATCAAGTGCACGCCATTGTATCTGACATATATAAATATTATTAGGAAGTGAAGGAGCACTAATAATGTATACTTTTGTCAATCCATATTTTGCTGACTTAAGGATGACACTAACCTTTGGAAATCCAACTATTGGTCCCGCTGTCAAAATTGTTCGTTGCAGGGTACTAGTCCATATCTAGACACCAGTCACAAACATCACAAACCATTCATCATTTCAAAATTTGCATGTATATTTATTATAAGCTTACACAAGCAGCTCTTTCTGATTTGAGACGCTTTTCAACAAATTTAGCAAGCTTCTTCTTATAAAGTTCTCCAGCCTCACTGTTGAAACAAATTGCATTGTGTTCCAGTTAGCCAGATGATAATTCATAGCAATTTTTGTTAAAGAAACCAGATATGACATTTAAAAAGGAAAAGAAAAGGGCAAATACGAAATAATTCGAAGATAGAGGAACTAAACCCATTTCTCTTTGCATGAAAGCTGTTAGAATCAAATTTCAATTAAGTCTTGAATTAAAGAGCTGGTAGTATTATTCTTTTCGGTGAAGTGGGTGAGTACACCCAGATATTGTAGTACTGCAAAGAGAACCCTAGGATGTAGAAAGAAACAAAGTAAGACTCATAAAAAGCCAATAATTTTTAAAGATAAGATGTATCCATAAGTTACCAAAATGATAAGCTATAGCAGGAAAAAAAAGAGCCAAGAATTAGGGCCCTTTTGTTGAAACTTTTAAACAAATTTCTGTGATATAGCTTTTTCTAGAGTTTATTTCAGAAGCTATCAAGTTTTCAGCGTTTTTCTTGGGGAAAAGCTTACATCATTATTATCACGTTTTTGTAAATATTTTTTAATTAAAAACACTTTTTCTTAGGAAAAATGCAAACAAATGAGCATTTAGTTTCAATAATAAACAAGGCCAAACTGTGCTTAATCAGTCTTAAATAACAAGGGCACTGCCTAACAATGCCAGAGAAAATAAACAAGATATGGTACAGAAGTCGTTAGACCACAAGTAGTCACTACTCCACTTCCAGCTCCCTAAAATTCGAAGCTCTGCTTTATTTTTGCGATTATTCTTTCTCATTAGTCATCTATCTTGTCAGAACATATTTCCAGCTTCATTCCTTTCCAATAAAAAAAAAACATGTCCAATCATTGTCAGTTTATTTTTTAGCACTGTCAACTCCAGTGTCACCACATCTCTGACGAGTCATAACATAAGTTGTTTCTGTCCAATTTCTTATATTTTCCTTTAGAATCAGTTGTGCCAACAATCAGTGACACCAAGCCTCCCACTTAGATAAATATCACGGTGCGACTTCCATCATACTAAAAACAAGTTACCAAGAATAATTGGGTTCATCTTTAAGCTAACCTGACTGCTAGTGGCAAATAATCTACAATATACCCCAGTTTTGGCTTCTTAATAGAAAACCACCAAATTGAAGGAGGATATTAATAATAATTTCTACAATTGAGGGTAGGGAAAAATATTAACAAAAGGGAACCATAAAGGTTCCTCCCATAACTTTGGGGGTCTAATGCAAAGGAGAAAAGAGGGTATTCACTAATAAAACTTTGAATAATTGTGATATGAAATAAAAAATTTGACCTTATATTCATCTTTAAACTAGTATTCTAGCACATGTACAAGTGTAGTACATCTACTACAAGCACAAGCCAAAATAAGATTTATGATACTAGGACTCCTAACAGAAAAATAATTCAGATTCTTAGTATTCTAACAGCTCCTTAATTGAGCAGAACAGAAACAGGAACTAATATTTTCATTCGCACATTACCTTTTTCTAACCCTGTGTCCTTATTACACTAAATAGAACCCAAATATTAGAATATACCTCAATGCAGAGTCTCCTCCAATTCTGCCTCTCACATTAAACTGACTTTCTCCATGCCGGGTGAGTAATATTGGGCGTGGTGTAAGATGTGTATTAACCTGCATGATAACAACAAATCATTCATAGAAGCTAACAAGTGTAACCTAAGCTTATTTTCAAATTTCATTTTTGTCACTTTAGCTTTATGTGTTTTAACTTTGTCCTTTATGTTTTGAAATACCATCGAAGTTTCCCTCAATCAGACTCCAAAATATCCACTAACTATTATGATCTTTAAGATATAAAACTTAAGGTTGAAGTATACCTTTTTCCCATTAATCTGTTTTTCAATTTCATATTTTCTCCTTGAAGTTTATTTGTTTTAAACTAACCATTTACAATTTCAGTGTTATTAATATTAACTTTTCTCAATTATAACTCCCAAATTTTGTATATGAAATTGCTTATGTCACATCCAGAATCATTAATATGCTTTGCTTGCCTAAGTTCTTTGGATAGTTGGCCTAGGACATTTATATTATTAATTAATTTGATCATTTTTTTTTCAGTGTCAATGACGCTTTGACTATAATTAACTACTTTCTTCTAAGAAACTTACCAAGAAAAAGACTATCCGACCAGGTAGGTAGCCACTGATATTTTTCACCTAAACCAAAGGGTAGAATTTGTGAATCATCAACAAATTAAAGTCACACAGTAAACCATGTCTGTAA